GTGTAAAATGTTAGTCTGGAGGCTGGGAAATATAGTCACTTCAGAGTTGCCAAGGGGAGACTTGGAAGGCAAACTCAATTCCACTACTTTTAGGAAAGACTGAGCCACCTAATTCCTTAGGGAGTCTATAGATTGATTGATTGGGCCATCTATCCATCCACCCTCCTGGCCTGCCCACCAGCAAGTTCGGCGCCAGGCTTGGTCAGGCAGGTACTGTGCCTGGTCAAGGGACAAAGACCAAGCCCCACTGTCAAGGGTTATGCATGGTCCTGATGGCCAACCTAAGAAGGGAGCACAGGTGACAAGGAACTGCTGAAGGGCTGTGTTTGTCTTCTGACCTCAGAGACCCGTCCAAGTCTGCCTTGACTCTTAAACTGAGGTTCTTGATAGTTCTGCACCCAAGGGATTTAAAGTTTATTCTTTAACACAAAAAAATCCTTTGACTAAACACTTGCTTGTTGTAACACACTGTCTTTCCACCAATGTCTTTAAGACTGAAATAACGGGGTAAAGTTCACTGATGTTTCCCAGAAGATGGCTTTGGAAATGTTAGACTTCCTGGTCTAGCTCCCTCCTTGGAGTATAGAGGGGGCAAACAGGCCTGGAGAAGGGACAGCCGAGTGAGGTCACATGGGAAGTGGGTGGGGGTCAGGCCCAGGGCCTCAGCTCCCTGTCTCCCCTCTCCACCTGGGTGGGGGCGGTGGGCGGTGAGGGCTGCCACTATCAGTGTGGGGCAGGGAACTGGCAGAGGATTTAGCTTTGGAAGAAGTGGTGAGATACCCACGTGCAGACTTTGCACAAACTGCCCAGCAAAAGAGGTGAGAGGCCAGAACCACTCAAAGGACTCGTCTTTGGAGAAGGGTCATGTGCAACTCGTATCTGATATAGTACTCAACATGTCCCTCTACACTGGGTCATCGTGAAGAAAAGGATGGACAAGCAATGATTTCTCTCGAAGAGGGAGAAAAAACAATCCACAGGTCCTGGGCAAGCTGGTGGCCAAGCAGAGGCGCTAAGCCAGGATTCTGGCCTCTCAGGAGAGTTGTGTTTTGGTGTTCCTCTCCCTCTCAGGATGCTGTCATTTCGAGGCTTGTAAAAACTAAGGAAATGCATGCTGAGGTGCTGACTTACGGCCTTCCAAACAATCTCTCTCCCTAACTCCACTCTAGCCTGGGCGATATGGCATTGTAATTATCTGCCTCCAGGACTGTCTCGGTGCCTTCCCGCCTGCTGAGCTGAGCCACTCAAGGAAGGCCTGGCCTTATTCTGCATCAGGTTCTCACAGCTTGGCACAGGGCCTGCCCATGGTCCTTGCATGAGTGGGACAGTTAGATGATCAGATCGCATCTCTATGAGGCCTGAGCCCAATAAGACGAGTGGCGGGGAGCCACAGAAGAGAGGAAATAACATTTGTCAACACTTCACCTCGAGCCAGGTTATGGTAGGTGTTATGATCTCCATGTTACAGGTGAGGAAACCGAGGCTCAGGGAGGTACAGTGACAAAGGCGAGGGCATAGAGCCTGGGGCTCCCAGAAGCCTCTCCTCTCAAGGTTCGTCAGTCCTAAACTGTTCCCCAAGTTCGCCTCTACCCACTGTTGAGTCCTGACTGCCCAAAGGGGACCCGAGGACTTTTGTCCGAAGCCTCCAGCTGCTGCTCAGCCGGCTTCCCCCGTTCACCCTGAGCCCGCTCTATAATCAAAGTTTTTCTCAAGACTCAGAATTCTCCCTCCAAAGCCTGGCAGACCAAACTCTGCCTCTCCTCTGGATTTCAGGAAGATGCTGGGGTGGGAGAGTGCTGGGCTGAGACCAAATGCACCCCACAATCAGGGTCGGCTTCCATCACTTGCGGAGACAGGCGCTTCTTAGCTCTTCCCGCTTTTCCGAGCAATGACCCTTTCACGGGGGTGAGGGCTGGCTGAGCTCTGTGCTGGATGCCAGGAGACTGGGTTCTGGCTCTGCCAGCCGAGTGGACACAGGTGACAACCCTTCTCCGCCCTCCTTTACTGCAGCTGTTCAGTGGGAGTCAGCTTTCCTTCTGTCATCGTCCTCGGTCCTCCTCCCCTCCCCTGCCTGCCCCGCCTCACCCGCCACTGCTTCTTAGAGCGACTTCTCCTCATTCCAAACGATCTAGACGGGCAATGGCCTTCTCGAGAGCCCTGCCGCTTTCACTGCTCAAAGGCTATCCTGTTCCCTACTGAAAGCATCCCACCTTGAATGTTGTTCTGATTGGGTCACCCCGTGCCCCCATTCCTTGTTTGTGATGGTTCCAGTCAGCTGGAAACTGAAGAGTTCTCGGGGCTGCGTTTTGGGGTCTGCCACCACGTCAGCCTTAGACCCTCTCTGTATCTCCCAACACAGTCTTTAGCTTTAAACAGACTGAGCCCTGTCCCCAAAAGCCTTTCTGCGTTCTGATTCTAGGGTAACCAGGTATTAGTGGTCCTTCATTTTACTTTCAGCCCAGTATCTTTATCTATCGGGTTGTCGGAAAAGTCATGACGCATTTTTGCCACAAAAAACATAGAAAAAATACATCATGACTTTTCCGACAACCCAATTTAAGCACAGAGATACTTGATTAGATGGTGGGAAATACCATCTCCTTTATTATTTCACTGCTCAAACATTTATACTTGTCCTCAGGTCTCGGCCTGAAGATCAACCCAGCCTAGTGTCAGATCCCGAGGGTCCTCATATAGCACCTGAGACAATCCATAGTTTTACACACACACACACACACACACACACACACACACACAACCAGGGGTGCCAAAAAATGTATACACATGACTTGTATTCATCTTTTGTTATCGGTATATATTATTACAATTTTAATAGTTTCTTCCTTTCTTAAAATGTGTATACATTTTTTGGGCATCCTCTGTATATGTAATTATCTACCCAATGTCATCCCCTTTCTCATTAGTCTGGATGACCCTCTGTTGGTGTGGACTGTTCACCTTGTCCACCATGTGGCCTCAAAGCCTGATCCTGCATGGCATTCTGACAAGGACCCAATGATTAGATAATAATTCAGGCCCCCTTGGGAGATAGGAGGACCCTAGTCACTAAGGAAGTCTGCCTAGTACTAACACCAGCACTCAACAGAGGGCTGATTAAAGTACTCTAGGTAAGCGATCTCCAAGGAGAGGGATGAAGTCCAGGAAGGCTTCCTGACAGAGGCATGTCTGGGCTCACATGGTACGCAGACTAAAGCCTAAACTATACGGAGGCTGTCCTGCGAGGGTACTGCCGCCCTCCCAGAGCTCAGTCACCCTCCTCAAGTATATCCAGGAGGACGCTAAGATCCTAGGGGAAAGAGTTCCCAGTCGATGAGGAAGACCACATTTTACCGATAAGGAAACTGAGGCTCAGAGCAGGGCACAGACCAGTTCCTAAAGAAGCCCAGAGCTAGGCCTCACGAGGTCTTGCAGTTAACAGGTACCTCGTGAGGAACCATGTCACACGTAAACCAGCAGGATTACAGAGCATGGCTTTCTAAGGTCTGGTGCCCCTGCTCTTTTCCAGGAGATGTATCTACTTTTCATTTTCTTAAAAGGTGTTTCAGGAAGCGGGACAGGGTGCTGCCGGTGCTTCCTTGGCACTGTTGGGCAAACGGAATGCTGCTTTGGCAGTCACCTTGGGAGGGGGTGGGTTGCAGGCTCCCTGCTGGAAAGGGTCAGAGATCTTTCAGAGGGAGGCCTGTTTGGGACTCTTAAGCAAGGCTTGACCTAAGACAGAAAGCTGCTTTCTGAGGGAGAGCAAAATATGCAACAATCTTGGCTTCATTTATCATCCAGGTGTCTCCACAGGAGAGTGGGGCCACAAAAGCCTTTTTTGTTTGTTTGTTTTGTTTTTGGAATTTGCAATTGTCTGTTTTCTTAAGTCTTCTCATTAGGCTAGAATCATGTGGTCCTGGACCGTCTGGCCTAGGTCTTACCCCTGAGATCCCCAGCAAGCAGCGTTCAGTGTTTGCTGAACAAACCATCCTTTCCACGTGCATAATTCTTCAGCTTGTTAAGACTCTGCTGAACCAAGAAATAGCTCCAGAAACCCAGAAAAGAATTCAGAGATAAAAGCACTAGAGAATCAGATAGGAAAAACACTCAGCAGATACAATCCATAACAGTTTGGTTCCTTGAAAATACTTTTAACAATAGACAAATCTTTGGCAAGTTTTGACCAAGAAAAGAGAAAGCACTGATAAGCAACGCTAGGAGTGCAACAAATGAAAAAACTGACAATGGGGAGATTTAAAAGGACAGGAGAAAACTACATACAACTTTACAGCAAGAAATTAAAAATAATCTAGGTAGAACAGGTGCGCTTCTATGAAATAACCAAAGCCCTTTCACAACTGTTATTTCAATAAGCCCTCACCACAGCCCTGTGCCTTGGATAGAGCTCGTTATATTTTCTAGAAGGAGGTTGAGAGGTGGACACGCAGCACAGGACACTGACAAGCTCCCCTGCTTTGTCTCAGAGGTCACGGCCACAGGAGCACGTGCATGTCGACGACACTGAACTGCACCACTGTCGTGCTTGCAGCCATTGCCTTGCGCCCCCACGTTGGATGGCCAGTCCTATTTATTTTTCCACTTGGAATGCCATAAGGGGTTTCACTTTATTTTTACTTCAAAAGCAGCACCATAAAAATCCTTGATGATTAGAGCTCCAGCTGTCTTAAGTTGTTTGTCAAGGGATCGGTTACTCAAATCTCCTCTGGAGGGAAACGGTTTTGGGCGAGAAGCCATGGGAGCTGAGAAACGCAAATGTCTCATCTCTGAAAACTTTCAGACTCCCTCCTGTGTGCCGCCTGGCCTGCCCCCTTGCTCCCCCTTCCCAAACCCCACCATCTGCTCTCCAGAGAGCAGATCAAATTTTCTGGTTAAGGTACTCTGGCGCCAAGGACTCAGCCCCTCCATGCTACCTCCTGCACCCCACCAACTTAGAAATCCAACACCACGACCCAAATGGACTGCAGCCACGTAAAACCACAAAGTAAAGTTTATAAAGCTTTATTAAACATTTCAAACAGCTGTGCAACGAACACACCAGAAATAAAAGCTCCGGAGTAGCTGTCCAAATGTTCCACAAGTGTGGCCTCACGGTCCCATTCCCTAGGTGGACTGCCTCCAGTGGTGTCCTCTGCCTGGCCCACTTTCCTCCCGGCTCAGGCAAGAGAAAGATGGATGGTCTAGACCGGAAGGACAACCATGCTGATCCCCAGTGGGCAGGGGCCAGGAGAAAGTCTTGTGTGCCAACACTTGTTATGGAAGCACAGAAAAGAGTGACAGTCACAAAGTCTTCCTGTGTATTCTTCACAACACACAGTCTCTATGTGCAGAACTGAAGGAGCTCCCGGCACGAGGACGATGGCCACTGCGCCCCTCTGTCTCGTCTGAGCCACCTCGGAATCCAGTGTGCTGGTCACTCTGCAATCCCCATGCTAAAGAAAAACTGTAGCGGCACCTACGATAGCTAGCTACTGCTAAACCTCAAAATCGGAACACATTCGATAAAGTTTCTTGGAAAGGAATATACACACGTATTTGTACACATACACACACACACGTACGGCACACTGAAAATATCCAAAACGCCTATCAAGGGGCTCATCATGGCTGTTATGAAACACACAGGTACTCTCCCATTCACTCGGCTGGGGACTGCTAGATCTACGTGAACACACCACACCTCAATCCTGCAGAGCATGCACAGGAGACACAATGAGGCCTCCCTCCTCGGAACAGCTGAGGAAGGCAGGAGGGAGGGCAGAGGAAGTGAGCCTGAGCATGAGCCCAGACACCCAGGTGAAAGAGCAACATGGATCTGTTACTTCTTTTTTAAAAATGACGTGGAAAAAATACTGGAGATTTGTGAACAAACAGTCAAGGCATGTTTCCGTCTAGCCTGCTGACCAAGGAAAGGAAGATGAAAAAGCGAGGCTCTCGGGCGTCAGCAATCTCTTTAAATTCGAGATAAGTGCAAAAACAAGCCCTGTCTTGGACAGGTGCTTCCCCCAAAAGGAAAGGGGTAGAAGAGAACTAAAGGGACATCAGGAGAGGGACTGAGGAGTTGGGGACATTCTGGGAAGGGAGGACACCCTGACAAGGAAGGGTCATGGAGGTGACAATGAGACTGGCATTTTATCTGCCCAGGTCATGCTGGGGTGGTGGACCAGGATGGGTGCAGACTCCTCGCAGGAATGAAGCGAGGGGGTGGCCATCCTGCCAGCTGGGACCAAGATGGGGACAGAACACACACAACCACAAGACCACCCACGACTATAGGACTCTACAATAAAAGCACCGGTCAGTGCTATTATTCACATTATAAGGATAAAACATCACAGGCCAAAAAGGCGCCGTCAGGAATGTGGCACCCGCGGGCTGCGGGATTTGAAACTCCAATGCTTTATGACCTATGTCAATGCCTCCCCTCCCGTCTTCTGCTTCCTTGGAAAGCTAACTGGGCGGGCTGTTAGGTGCCCACAATGCTGGGGTCATGCGCTGATTCCGGAAGCGGGGAATCGGAGCAGTGGTACAGGAAACAGTTTCCCCAGCAGCTATAGCAGATGAGGAACAGGGCTGCCAGGAAAACCAAGGCACAAATTGTGCAAGGCTTCCGCTCCAGAAGGAAGCTGAGCAGGTAGAAGCCCATGAACATGGAGTGGCTGAACCACAGAGCGGGGTTGAGGGGCTTGGGGATGAGGAGGACGGGCAGCAGCCACTGGAGGCAATACATGATCTCTGCCAGGCAGGGCCTTCGCCAAGGCCGCCGGGCACCGCTGCAGGAACCGACCTAATGGGAGTCAGCAGGCGTGGGCAGCTGCCCTCTGCTTTCTTCAGCCCTCACTCTGCAGGAGCTGAGCCGCTGTGCTCTCTGGCTGTCAGCCCGGGATCACCAAGGCAGCAGGGATCCTGAAGAGAAAAGTCAACACAACAAACAGACAAAAAACAGACAGACAGACAAAAAAAAAAAAAAACAAACCAAAAAAAAAAACAGGAACAGAATGTATACTTATTTGGGAAAATGGATCATGGTTAACAACAGCAAATGTGAATGCCCTTTCCTCCCTCCCCACCCATGGACATCTACTCTGCTCCAAGTCACCGTTTCAAGAAGCCTCCTGGGGGGTCTCCCCTGGGCTTCTCAGGGGCTCCACCAGAGGGCTCTTCTGGCAGGTCCAGCCCAGTGGACTGGCTTTGCCTGGGCCCTGCCCAGCAGAGATCATGTATTGCCTCCTGGGGCTGCGGCCCGTCCTCAAGGGGTCCAGACCTCACAATACCGCCCTGTGGTTGCCCCTGTACAGCCACAGGCTCCGTACTGTGGCCCCACAGGATGAGGACAGGGCAGGGTTCTGCCTCACAGCAGGTGCTCAGAGGCGAGTAAAGCAGCGGCGCACTGCCGGCCAGAGATCACAAGCAATGAACGGATCCTCACAAGCCACAGCAGCAGGACCACCACCAAATATTCTGTTTTAAGATGGCAGCCTGGGATGAGCTTGCCTTTTTCAAATAGCCTGGCGTCATTTTATCAAAACCAGCCAACTTCTTCGAAAGTCGATGTAGGGAAAAAAAAAAAATCACCATGCTACTTCGACCAAACTGACCTCGCTTGGATCACTTATACTCCATCTGCTGTTGGCACTGGATAGAACTTGACCTCTGCGAGCTTTTAATTAAAATTAATTTTCTATCCACATAGGGGCAAATGCCAGTTGGTCCCTGTACCAGGCAGCTCGCTGGAGAGAGGTGCTCTCCAGCGGAGGGCCACCGGTGCACTGGTACCTCACTCGCAGACCGCGTTCAGATCTTCCCGCTGTGCGTGGAAACGGAGCTGCGGCAGCCACAACCCTTTTGTGGCGGTAGCAAAACCCCACTCCAGCCGCCCAGCGCAACGGGTACAAAGAACCTCGCTGGCTGAGGAAGACCTAGCAGGGCCTGGGGGGAGGGGTGCAGAAGACAGAGGTTGAAATGACCTGTCCAGCGGCAAACTATCCCAGAGCTCATTCCAAACACCTCTCGGGAGAGCTACCCGATCCCTTCCGTGCACACAAAGGCTCCAGTCCCTCCCGCACCCCTCCTACAGACAGGGTAGATACCCGGTGACTACCGCTTTCCCGCCTAGTTTACTACCCTGGCTAGGATCCCTATAATTGCCACCGCCGTAGATCTAGCAAGCGTAAGGAGTGGGACTCAAGTAATCAGGGAAAGGTGAGGCGCTCAGCGGCTCTCTTGAAGCAGGGGGCGTGGGCTCACAACACCCCCCGAATACTAGAAAAAGAGTGTTGAGCACGGGTTTGTGAAGCCAAGGCTCCTGGAAAGGGCATTTTTTCTTGCTCCGCGGGGCAGATGATCCCGCTCTACGTTAGGTTCCCATCCGTACCCAAGGTGGGTTGTTGTGGTGTGGCGCTGTACACTAGGCTCCAAGGGAGGGGCTTCCCACCAAGAGGCGTGCAGCCCCTACCCTCGCCTTAGCGCTACGCTACTCAGAGTTGCAGTTCCCCTCCATTTTACACTAAAATTTAAAAGCAGGCACGGAAGAATCTTCTGGAAAGGGGCTAAGATGAAACGCAGGAGGCGGGGGTCGGTGTGGAAAGAGCAGATGGATTATTTTTTCCTCTCCTGGCGAATGAGGAGCGCCCCTGGCTACCCCTCCTCATGGACCCCCCCCCAACGGCGCATGCGCAATGGAGTGGTAGGTGGATACTTAAGGCGCGGCAACCGCGGTTGCGGCAGTGCGCCCAACAGCGGACTCCGAGAGACTAGCGGACCTCGGCGAACCCGCGGCCTTCGGCAGCACTCGCTCTCAACCACCTGCCCAGCATTCTCGGAACCATGGCGGCAGTGGCGGCAGCCTCGGCTGAACTCCTCATCATCGGCTGGTACATTTTCCGCGTGCTGCTGCAGGTAAGTGTGCCCGGGTTCCGGGTGGGAGAGGGGTCCTGATGCGCGCCCCTGAACCGGCAAGCCCACGTTGCAATTGCCATCTCCCCTACCTGTCCTATCTTGATTGCCGCGATCCCTGCCTACCCGAGTGCCGCGGCCAGCACCACGCGCCCCCACCCGCTCCCTGCGCCCTCCTCCTAGCGCAGACCCTTCTCAGTGCGCCCGCGCCCGGCCGGGAACAAAGAGTTGGGGCGCGGCGGGCGCCAGCCGCCGACGAACGCCGAGGCTCTTAGCGACCAACGTGGTAAGAAAAAACCGCTACACCCAGACTCGACCCCAGGAGGGAGGTGGGGCACTTCAGTTTTGCGAAAAGAGACTTTACAGCTCGCAGAGCGAAAATTTTCCGCCTTAAAAAACTGCGCATTGCGGGGAAATTTTCTTTAAAAAAACCCAAAAAACAACACACACACACACACACACACACACACACAGCGCTTGCGGGGGTGGGACGAAAAATAAGTTAGAAAAATCACTTCTTAGAAAAACACAAATAAAAAGCACTTTGAAAAAAGAATCCTCCCAAACCCAACCCTCAACCAATTAGAAAAAAAGTAATTCGCGGGAAAAAACGAATTCAAGAAAATGCGCATTGCAGGAAAAATAAATCAGACAAAAGCACTTGGCAGAAAAAAATGCATTAGGTAAAAGCGCATTGCAGAAAAAAATTAAACAAAGCTAACAAAAATGAATCAGATAAAAGCGCTTTGAGGAAACCAATTGGAGGAAAAGGCTCTTCACAGGAAAAATGGAAGAGAAAAAAAGCGCTTCCAAAAAAACCAATTAGCTTTATTTAAAAAAAAAAGAGGCAAAATGCTTGTGTAAAAAGAAAGGCACCAAAAGAAAGCGTTTTCCTTAAAATCATTTTCCCTAAAAGCACCCTTTGCAGGAAGAATTCCCTGCTAAAGGAATCCTTTGCCAAAGGAATCGCATATTTCCTTCAAGGTGTTCCTGGAATGCTGCATTTACTGGGTAGGATTCGCTTTTCGAAATCCTCCAGGGACCCAGCCCATTGCAAGAAGTGAGGTATACCTAAGTTGTGGGTCCAATCAGCTTTCCGCCATGCAGCCTTCCGCACAGTTGGAAAAGCTCCAGCTGCCCTGACTCGTGGACGAGCTGCGCCCGTGCCCGCCTCCTAGTTGGACAGGCGGGCGGGGCAGGGGGTGGGGCAGGGGTGGGCACAGGCACAGGCACAGGCACAGGCACAGCAGCGCTGCAGATAGGCTGCGGGTGCCCGCCTCTAAGGGCAGGTCCTGGGTCTCTCACTACAGGTGTTCAGGTACTCCCTGCAGAAGCTGGCATACACCGTGTCGAGGACCGGGCGGCAGGTGTTGGGAGAGCGCCGGCGAGCCCCCAACTGAGGCCCCAGCCCCCAGCCCTGGGCGGCCTTGTCACCAGGTGCTCCTGTGCATCTCGCCCAGCACAGGAGCCAGTGCCGCGCAGGAATGGGGGGTCCCCTGTGCTCTCTCGCCAGAGGAGCACTTGCCAAGGTCAGTGAGGGGCTGGTAGGCCCCCGGAGAAGCAGCACCGGCAATGAAGACAATACCAGATCCTTTCCCAGCCCCTTTGCACCCCTCCCACTGCGTGGTAGGGTGGGGGGTGGGGGGTGCGGGGAGCAGACCTCTGAGATTTGGGCATAGGCATTCTGATCTGGACCAAGTCGGGACAGGGACATCTCAGCCCCACAGCCACGGCCATGCCAGCGGGACCCACCACAGAGATGAAGACAACCATACCAGCCAGCAGAATGGACATTCCATCATCACCAGCCAGTAGCCCTGAATCTCCGAACAGCAGACAAGGCACCAACTTCGTGCCTCTGTGGCGGGACTGGAGGGCGTTGGTGAAGGAGGAGGAGGGTTAAGAAATAGAGGGGGGCCCTCTCAGGGTCCCTTGCCACCGCACGCACGTGCATTCCAGCCTTGCTGCCTTTGCTCCCTCAATTCCCCCTTCCCCCTCACTGCCCCCCAAGCACACCCCACCTGAAAGAAATGTGTCACTCAATTCGGAACTATTCAACAAGTAGACGAATCCCATCTTTACCAAAACACCTTCTCTGAGCCCCCAGCCCCTCACTGATCTTGCTTTTCCCTGGTCTCACGCAATTGTGGTCAATATTGTGGTAATCGCTAATTGTACTGATTGTATAAGTGTGCATTATTAGTTGTGTTTCCCCAGCTAGATTGTAAGCTCCTGGAGGACAGGGACCACCTCTACAAAAAATAAAAAACCAGTACCCCCCCTGTCTCGCAGTGTCCCAGGACCCTGTGGGGCGGTGGAGGCACACCAAAAAGTTGTCTCTTGTAACTTCTTTTGCGGCTTCAACACATACTTCTAAGACTGGGCCAATGTACCCATTGTGGAATGGGCACACTACTTGGAAGAGGGAGATGGAGGGGGAGGCAACAAAATGGCAATAAACTGGGACCCCCACACACCCAGTTCCACCTCAACTTAACACTGTCCTGAGACAAAGGACCACATCCCCTTCCCCAAAGAGAAAGGTCTTCACCTGTGGTCTCAGAAATGAGAGACCACTTCCCCTTCCTGAGAGGTGGGTGCCTTCATTTGTTCTGGGATAAGGGGCCTTGGCAGATAATCACTGGGAAAGATGGGAGGAGGGGAATGGTGGGAGTAGCCCTCAAAATGGGGTATTAGGTGGCCAAGGGGGGTTATCAGGACTTGAGTACATACAGCCTTATCACGATCCAGAAGCTCCAAGGACATGAACACTGGGCAGGGTGGGCGCTGACTTGACAGTAAGGGATAAGCAGTGTGCTGTGGTGCCTCCCCCGCCCAGCTCATCCCTCCAGGCCCTAGAACCTCCACCAGGACCATTACAGGGCATCCTGTCCTACCTGGCCTTGCCACTCTCCAGGGTCTCTTCCCACACCCCCAGGAATCTCTCTCCATTACTTACTCTCCCCATTACTGGGTTCTTGTTTCTCCCCCACCATTAGCCTCCATATTCTTAGGGGTTCTTACCAGGTCCCAGGCCCTGGGCCCTCCCCTGCCATCATGTCAGGGGGGCTGGCCGCTCAGCTCAATGCGACTTCTCTCTCCACTCTCCCACTCCTCACAGAGTCAGGGCTCCTTTTACATGGGGTCAGCTGACTGCCTCACCAAATGGTCCTGCCGCCTGTTCAGCCTTGTCTGTGGCTTTATGTGTCCCTGTCACTATACACCTGTTCCCGGGTCAATGCCGAGGGAGGGAGTTGGAAGGCCATAAATCTGCCACTTTTTCAAATCCCTTAGTCACAGTTGTCACACACGCTTCTGGAGCACAAAGCACCTCACTGCCTTGAAGCTAATGTTTCCCTCCCCTAAGCAAGCCCCTTGCGTTCCTCAACCCAGCCACCAGCACCTCTAGAGGCACCTATAACTTCAGTTCAGCATCAGAGAATTATGGCAGTGGCAGGTTCTGGTATTGGCTTGCCATCGATCAGCCCAGGGAACCTGGACAGGTCACTTCCTACCACTCACCGTAAGTTCCCCTCTGCAACGGGCTGCTAAGAGCCCAGTGAACCCTAACATACCAGAAACATTCTGCCATCAAAGTGGCAATCAGGACTCGTAGGACTGGGGTGGGGATGTACAATCTGAGACTCCATCTTCCTTAGGCTGAGAGGCTCCAGCTTCTACCATAGCCTGAAGGTGAGGCAGGCCTCTTCTTGCCTGGGGTGACTCATCAGCAGGCAATGCCCATACCTCCCTTCGGAAGCCCAGCTCTCGGCAGGCCTCAAGTCGGGGAGCCTCCGTGGTTTCCCACATTAAACTCCCAGAACCATGTACATATTTCAACATGTGTTCTCAATGAAGGCTGCCCCTCCCCTCAGAGCCTTCGAGGGATGTGCCCAGGGCCCCACTGCCCCAGATGCGCTAACCTCAGCTCAGTTATAAAGTAGCTGGTTCAGGGAGACAAGCTGCAGCAGAAGGGAAGGATCGGGCTGCTCTGTACACAGCAGGCCCCCCTTAGCCTTCTGTGCCTTCTTTAAAAGGCGGGAGGCTGCTGGCAGCCCCAGGGCTTTCCAGATGATCTTGGCAAAGCCCATCTGTGGGTCTTCCTCCATCCATCCATCAGCAGGGTTTGGAGCATGTTGCGGTGAGATGACAGATTTCTAGGCAAGGGCTACCCTGGTGGCCTGCGCCCGCATGGGTGGGCTTGAGTGTGCAATGTCCACTTCCCCCAGCCCCAAACCCTCATGTTTTGGCAGCAAACACAACCCAACAGAGGAGACGGAAGGAATTCGTTCACTTTCTATTCCTGTGTGATGCCTAGAAGTCTGGTCCAAATACATAGTTTATAACATTTTTTCCAGAAGTGATACCATTAAAACATTTTATTCTGATAGAGAGCAATGGGAGTTGAAAATGACTAGTTTTATTGCAAAGCCCTTAGTTCACAGGGCTAAATGTCCACAGGCCTCGCTTTTCCCTAAAGAAGTTCTATCACCCCCATAAGCCTTGGCCCCCAAAAGGCCAAGGACAGAGCAGATGAGTTGTGAGGGCACTGGGATGGTTGTGTGGGGACTGCAGCAACAGGCGGGACTGTCCCAAGAAGGATGTTAGTTTCTTAGCCTAACCAGTTGAAGTTAAGCCCCAGGGGAGCTCAGGTACAATGACTTTCAGAGGTGTGGGGTGCTATATGACACAGTTAGCTCTATCTGTGGAGTATTTGGGTTGTGATTGAAGGAAGGGGCAGAAAGGACAAGGTTCTTGAGTTTCGGCTGCGGGACAGCAATAGTTTATTACACGTGGGCTTGGATGAGGGAGATGGTTTGCTGTGAGACGTTTGCTAGGCATCTATTTTCAAACTTACCTACTCAGGAGCCAGCACCCTAAAGTGAGAGTCTGAATTTGCAGTTAGTATTACCCCCCGAGATTTAAACGTGCATGAGCACGTGCACACGCAAATGCAAACACACACACACACACACACACACACACACACACACACAATTAGTCTAATTACATTCTCTTTTTCCCTGGTGACATCTTACCTCCTCTATATTCCCCAGAGACAATGTCACTTCTTTTCTGGGAAAGATCCTGTTCACCGTCCCTTCACCCCCTTCTCCCACGGGGTCCCTACCCCAGCAGAACCCGATTCCTGAACATTCCCAGGACAGGAAGTCAGAGAGGCAGGCAGCACATGGTCCCTGGCATATCCCACAGCGACAGGTTTGAATGGAATACATATGTTTCAAACACAAGAGAACAACAACAAAAAGATGGCCAAACCCAGACTTCCAGATACTTCTTTGAAACAACATATTACAGATAAAAGGTTACTCTGTTTTTGGCAGCAATTCGAACAAGACCAACTTCAGATATGGAATGGATCTGGTCACTGGAAAGTGACCCCAGGGCTCTGAATCTTTTTAACAGATTTGCTTGACATGAATTAGGCTGATTTAAAACAAACAAACAAACAAACAAACAAGATCTAACACTTGGCAAGAGCACTTAAACTGGAACTTTTTTTTTTTTTTTTGTCCTGGCTTTGGTGTTCCCGTCCAGAAGACTGAGGGGATGGATGGACCATGTCAGGCAGGGCAAACAGAAGCTGTCCCCAACACACCAGTTCCCTGAAAGGGATAAAACACGATCCAAAGCTATAAACAAGAAAGACCATTTCTTTCCTAGGACAGACCTCAGCCTGTTCCAATATTTCGTGTTGAAAAGGAACACGGAGTCCTGGGAGGAAATTAAAGAAGGTTCGGAAGGGGGGAAAGAAAAAGCAACTGTCCCCCATCCCCCATTCTTCTTTCCAGGCCATTAGTGTGCCAGCCATTCCATTCCTCAGCTGCCCTTGAGGGCCACTCCCCATGTATATTAAAAGAAAGGGAACGGGCGTCCAGACTTGATGTAAAGTTAGACAGAGTAAGAAGCACCCGAGACTCAAAGCAGAGCGTCGATCTATCACCCCAGACACCAAAGCGAGGGTCTGGGGGCAGGGGACCTTTCTCTCCTCTGCCCCACGCTCATTCTGATGTAAAAAAAAAAGCAACCGAAGTGGCGGGGATAGAGGGACAGGCCTCTCAGAAGCTGGGTCCCCTGCCATGGGCCTCGGGCTGAAGAGAGGATGGTCGCGCCCCCAACCCCGTGCTCCCCAGCTCTCTGCCTGCTCCATCCCGGGAGCAGACCGGCGAGCGCTGACCTTGGAGGCCAGAACGAGGAAGCCAGGAATTCCGTGACCCGCCCTCGGGGCGGGAAGGGACCCCCAAGGCCCAGGCCGCGGCCCACACAGGGCAATCACGTGACAACGAACAGAGGTGGCCCCGAGGGTGCGCGGAAGAAAAACCCCAAGGAGGGACCGGGAGACGACTAAGGTGACCCCAAAGGGACAACATGGCGGCGCGGACGCATTGAGGGCCTCTCATCCCCTCCCTCAAGATGCCGACACCACGGTACCTGCGAGACCAGCCATGGCGCCGCCGCCACCGCCGCCTTCGCTGTCGCAACCTGCCTCCAACTCAGCTCGCCACGGACGCCGCAGGAAGCAGGGGAGACGCCCCCTTCGTCTTCTAGTCCAGCCGGCCGAGGACCCCGTCTGGGATTGATCTATCTACAGAAGACGCCTGATCGTGCGACCCAAATGGCGGTCGCTCTCGCCCGATAGCCCCTCGATATCCGCCCCCACAGGACCCTTCGAATGCATTCTGCGTACGTGTGCGGAACTCTGGACGCTCCGAAGTCTTCAAGCCCGAAGACTTTCTAATCAGGCGCAGCCTGGGCAGTCCCAAATCACGGGCCCAAGGCCCCCTCATGCATATGCAGCAGATTGTGATCTTTATTCATTGAGCGCGGAGGGTGCGTACCTTAGCCTGTCGTCAGTCGGCTCCTGTCCCCTGTGGTCCGCGTGGACGACCAGTGTACGCCGGGAAAACCTCGGCTCAAAGTCCGGTCCCTCCCTGGCCCTTTCACCAGGAGGTCAAAGCTGGAGCTGAAGAATCTGGGCTCAGGACTTAGCACCTGACTTGGGGTCAGGACCTGACTCCTCCCTGCGCCCTATATCTTGGGCAAGCCGCTTGCGTACCCCGACTCTCAAGCTCCCCCACGTCTGATGAAATGCCTACCTCACAGGGTTGTTATGGGGATTGAATGAGTCCACGTCGTCTTTCATTAGCTAATTAAGCACATTCCTGGAGCGCTTACTATGCGTAAGTGCGGTGCTAAAGGCAATGGAGGGTGACATAGTCACTGTTCTAACCTCCAGGCGCTACCCAGCCTAGTGGAAGAGAGTTGAGGGGAAGGGAGAGGAAAGACAGTCATCAAATAATCACTATATGTTCATCATCAAATCTATATAATTATGCATCATGGGAAGTACTGTGGAGGGAAAGTTAAAAGTGATATTAAAAATTAATGGAATCCTAACGCAGGGTGAGGGTTGAGGGGTGAGGGTGGACCCACCTTGGAAAGCTGGGATTTTAGGCTGAGAGACCAAGGACAATTAGGAATCATACAGGGCAAGAGAGAAGGGAAACAAACGTTCTAGGCAGAAAGAGCCACTTGTCCCAGGTGTGGCGATGGGACGGAGCAGGGAGAGCGGGAGGGGTGGGCAAGGAGTAGTCCAGGTAATGCTCCCCAATGAATTTGTATTTTATCTTGAGAGTAATGAGAGGCCGTTTTCATCAGGGAAATGAACCCAAATTCGGGGATCTGAAAGGCCACCCTGGCTACATGAAGGCATGTGGGAGCTGTTGCAGCTTCCCAGGTGCAAATAATAGTGACTCAGACAGGGTGGCGGCTTGCTGAGGTAGAGGAGTCAAGGATGTAAGATTGGGTGCGGGTGCTGGGGCATCGGCAGTAATGCCTAGGTTTTTTTTTTTTTTTTGCCTTTTGTATGAAGGAGTGAAAGAGCCCTTGACTAAGGTGGTGAAGGCTGAAGAAGGATCAGATTGAGGGGAAAGACCAGGAGTTTGGCTTTGAGAAGGTCAGTTTGAAATGCCTGCTTGGCATCTAGGTGGAGAGAGTCAATAGGCAGTTTTATATGCGACTGGAGCTCAGAAGAGAAGTTTGGAGTGGAGATACATATGTGGGTGACATCCGCCCACAGATGATAGATGTAGCATAGAGCTGGATGAGATCCCCAAGGAGGGAAGGTACTAGATAAAATAGTAGGCAGAGTAGAAGGAGCCAAGAAAGGAGGCTGAGAAGCAGTGACCATTGGGGTAGGAGGAGGACCAGGTGAGCATGGGATCCCAGAGAGAAGGTTTCAAGAAGGAGAGCGTGCTTAGTGGGGCTGACTACTGTGGGGACAGAAATAGCACCATGTGGTTTGGTTACAAGGAGGGCTATGGACTGTATCCTTTATGTTGCGAGTTCCAAATACAACACAACCACAACACACACACATACACACACACCCCTAAATGAATTGGCGTAAAACATAAGTAGCCTGCCACTCGAATTGTGTAGTTTGGCAAAGTAATCAAGGACATTTCATCCCTCAGGTTCATGTCATCTCTGCTCTACTGTCCTCATGTTGGTTTCACACTCATGGTCATAAGATGGCCATGCCAGTTCCTGGGGTCATATCCACATCAAGAAGCTGTCCATTTCTTCTGTTGTTGATACTCAAACTGGATGTGGCCTCTCACTATCTTGCCGCTTATGGGCTGAGGGATCCGTGCACCCATGCCAGGAACACCCAATATTCAACACTGGAGGAAAAGAGCAGTCTTACAATGGAAACTCTTGT